AAATTGGTCATTTTTTGTGGGTCTCAGCACAACTTAAATAGTAAGTAGTATTGAAAAAGTACTACCAGCTGGAGAAGTTAGATGGAACTAGTTCTCCTTTGTATGAAAGGGAAGCATAAAAAATAAATATGGCTTTTTTGCCATATATATTTTTGAAGCAATGTATTCCACTGAAAACTGTAATTTTGTCAGTGAAGCACAGCTAGAATGAAATCTCCTTTAAAGTAGGCCCTTGGCAGGACAGAAAAAAATTTCCCTTCCTATGAGTTTGCTTGGGATAGATTGACTCCTCAAAAGACTGTTGGCACCGGTTCAAATTCAAAAGTTATCCCCAATTTCCCATCCCTATGGGATTAATAGGGATGAAGCCTGGCTCCACATTTCAGTGTATTTCATATCAGCCCTGGCAGCAGGGAGAGAGTAAAAAATCAGGTTTTTTACCTGCCTCTGAGTAATTCTTGGTGAGTCTCCTTGATTACAGGCATGTGGCAGCTGCCCATTGTGGAACACCCTTCCTGTGTGTCCACTTCAAGCAGAGGCTGGCAGTTGCAGTCTGGGGATGTTGGTGCTCAGAGGGGCACAATGCTCTCAGCATCTGTGTCCTCCTCCTCCTCTCATCACACTGGCAATGGCTGGGATTCCACCAGTCCACAGGGGAGTGTCCACAAAACTCCAAAGGGTTTGCTTCAGAAAAAAGACAGTGTCTTTTGTTGTTTGGTTTGTTTCCTTGCTTGGGGGCAGTATTTTTTAACTCCTTGTGGCTGCTTCAGGAACCAGCCTTGCAGCCTGGAAATGCTGGGAAAGAGAAGATCTTGGTTTCTTATTTTAAGCAGGAAAGGAAAAAAAAAAAAAAAAAGAAGGTGGAGAAATCGGTACCCGTGTGCATGCAGGGACAGAGGTTATGGGGCACAGGTGGGGAGGGAGCCCATCCCAAGGCGGTGGGTGGCAGGAGCGCAGGGAGAGGCTGCCCTGCCCATGCCGCTGTGCCGCAGCACAGAGACTCCGCTAGGAGCAGCGGGTGGCCATGGAAACCCTCCAGCAGCGCTGCCGGCCGGGAGCCAGAAACCTTGCCCATCCCCGGGGCCAGCAGCGAGCTGCTGGGGTTACTGGGGGGCAGCCGCGGGGAGGAGGGGCCCAGGCTGCCCCCCTGCCTCCTTGATCGGCCTGAGGAAATGCCCCGAAGCAGCCGAGTGATTTTCTGAGTTTCCTTTGACCTTGGGTTTAAAACGTCCGACTCCTTTCCAGGGTGCTAATGAGGAAACACTGAAGGACTAAACACTAAAGGAGGGGGAAGGGCTTCTCTTGGCCGGGGTTATTCTGGCACAGACTGGATGTCCTGCGGTAGATATTAATAGTTAACAGGCAGGTCCCTAAGCACCAAAAGACCCAGGGAAAAGCTGCCATGCTCCTCTGTGAAACTGGGATATTTCTTCTCCTTAAAGAGACTTGCTAAACTGCCTTAGAATAACTCAAGCTTGACAAAGTGGAACTAATTTGCCTTCATTTCCCCAATCTTAGAAAACAACTTTGAAATCAGAAGGATTTTTGAGGCTATGATATTTATTATAAAGAGTAAAGCATAAACCTGGGTTTTAAGGAATTCAGTGTAATATAAGGAGTTGTAACTGCAGTCTGTGAGATGTTGAAACATCTGCTAGAAGAGCAAAGGATGCAGGCCACCTCTCTGTCAGGGGTGTAGGTCGCCCCCCTTCTCAAGTGGGTAGCAGAATCCTTAAAATAAGAGTCTGTCTCTTGTATAACCACATTCTTCCAAAGTATTCAGCGTTTCCTACCCTGCTTTGATTTTGAATGACATTTGAAGGACTGGATATAAATCCAGATCTCTACCCCTTTAAACACCACTGTTAATATCAGTTCTACTCTCTTTATTCCAGTCTTTTAATATTTTTTTTTCTTTGAGGACAACAATTTCAGAAGATAATTATTTTTATTTCCTTGGTTGATGCTATTCCATTTTAGCCCTTTTTTCCCCCAAATGGACCAGAACTGGTAGTTTCACTCTGCACAATTAGTGTGAGCTTCAGTGATCAAAAATAGTCATTATTTATTCCTACACCAGGAAAGGGTATGTCAAATCTAGAGAATCAGTTCAGCATTTGGCTAACCAAGACCAAATCCCAATGAAATCAACCTTTTCCCACTACTGAAAATATGCTAATATAACCTTATTTTAACATAATTAAAAGTATCCACCTGTTATTTAAATAAACTGATATTCTACATTCCTTTCATGAACTGTGTCATGATTGCATATTTGTTTTGTGGCTTTTAAAGACCTCAGAATAAACTGAACTCTATTAGTATCTACTTGTGCTCTGGTACTGCATGAAGGATAGTTTGTAGCTGGTCCCTGTTCCTAAGACCTATAGATCTGTGCAGGTAAAGTGCAGAAGATAAAGCAGATACAGAGAATTGAAATGAGATGATCCAGCAGATAAGTAATGATATTCAAATCTCATTATGTGCAGGTCTGTACATTCCTGGTATGTTGTACCTATTCCAATTCCTTAGTAACAGTATGGCTTCAGTTAAAATCTTTCTCTTCAGCATACTTTGTGTCTGAAGTTACTTGAAAAATACCCGATTGAAGTTTCAAGACGGAAGCATCACATTAAGCACTGTCTGGATTGACTTTAACCTTTTCGTGCAGGAGCATGGTGTCACAGCTGCACATACATGTGAGAACTGTTTTCCCCTGGAGAAACATGTCTAATTACTCACCACATCTTCTTTTTCCTATAGGTGTCCTATTAGGTGACCTATAGGTCCTAGTTCTACTGCTACAGAAATGAGCAGGAATTTCCCTACTGATTTAAGAAGATTTAAAAATACTAAACTAAAGGCAAATCATGGAGGAGTTAGTGTGCCTGCAGCATGCACTTGGCAAAAAGCAAAGAAGTCGCAGTCACACAGCGTTAGATTTGGTTCAAGGATTTACCTCAGCTTCCACCACACAGTGCAGCACTGGCCCTTAGGAATTCAGCATTAGTGCAGGGGGGTAATATCACTGTAGCACCCCTCACACTGCAAAGGAGGGACAGAAATTTGTTCAACACTGGCTCAGAAGGGTCGTCGAGTTCCATTCTCATCATGAATGATAGAAGAAGGATCTTCACTATCAGATCTCAGGGGCTCAAAGCACCTAAGTCATGTGGACTGGGGTTGAAGTAATCAGGGAGGAAGTCGGTTTGGAGTGGGGTGTTATGCACTCTCTTAAACTCTTAGCACATTCTGTGACCAGAAAACAATTTTCTCATCTGTCACTGTCTGGATACAACCTCTGGCTTTTGCCCTCCTGGCACTTACCCTGTTTAACTTAAGCTTTTGCAAGTTTCTTAGGTGACTTTGACTGAAGTATCTCTTCCATGCTTGCAATTTATACCAAGGTTTTGAATAAAGGATTAATGAGCAATTACTGTTTTTTAAATGTAAGTAGATGTTGGTAAATCTAATGTAGATGTTGATAAACCAAAGAGTAGAAGCTTTTGCAGATTACTGCAAGAAATGTCATGATCTATTAGCATTTGCAACATTTGTCAGGCACACAACAAAACAACTCCTTATTGGTTATTAATTCTCTGAGAAAAGAACTGTAATGCCAAAGGTGCTCAGTAGTTTGTTTTCCAGAATAAAACCAAAATAATTTTTTTAGATTAAAACAGATTTCTGAGGAGGAATTAAATCTGCAAGGAGGTTTGAAAGTAAAAGTTTCCTTCTGAATTAAAGCATGATAGCTTACAGATATAACAAATGCTTAATTAACATGGGATGGATGCCAGAGGCAGTTCTTTTAAAAAGAAACTTGAAAGCAAGCACAGGAATTCTCTGTAACAAAGCTTTTCTGCTGCCATTTTCTGAGAATGTTATCTCATTGGCGTTTTTGGTAAGCTGGCATCACAGGGGCATCATTCTAATTGTCATTTAATAGAAGCTGTATTTTATTTCATTCTAAATCACTTCCATGAATCTCATCACCTAAGCCTGGCATTAAAGAGAATTCAAAATCAAACAAGTTAGTTAAAAATTGTCCTTTGACAGAACTAGGGCTTCCAATGCATTTTAATTTTTCTGCAGACTGTATGATGTGGAGAAGGGGGCTTCTGTGTATTGATGATTGATTTTTTTATCAAACAGTTTGCACAAGAGTTGATGTAAAGGTTCAGGGTGAATCTGCACATTTAGTATATGTAGCACTAAATGAACATTTACATTTGCAAATACTGCAGAAGACAGAGAAATGATGATAGAATAATGCCTTTGTAAAAAGATTTTCCATGTAATTGTGGCAAGTACAAGTAGACAAACAGTTCTGGCTCTTCACAGTGGTCATGCTTAGAGCAGCCCCTTATGGCCAGGAGCACCTGGAACCCATTTCCCAGCTGAACTGTTCTAACCATTGGATGGGGTGGCAGGACTACTGCTCAGCCAAAGAAAGTTGAGGAGATGTAGCTTTTGGCATTTTTTAGGTAGTGGAAAACCTCCCTGATTTTCTTTGAACAACAGAGACTCTTTGGCATCTATACTTTTAGGGAAGAGAATTTCAGATCGTATCAGAAAACTTGTGTTCAGGAATACAAAGAACTTTATAATCTTACTGTAGTTTTAGAGGCTTCTGTTTTTTTCCTCTCTACTCAAGCAAACTACCTATTAAACAAGGCAGTTAAAATGTTGTACTTAACAGGACAGTAATAATTTTATTGTCTTTTAGGTAGCTTCTTAGTTGTTATGAATTTGATTGTTTAATATCCTGTTTTATTAAATACAAAAGCCATAAATTAAATATATGCCAGTTTAAAATACACTTATAAAATTAATACATTTTATTCAATATAATGCAATATTTTAATGTTACATATTTAGTATATAATTTTTCAAGAAAAATGCATATTTTGAATGTGATATGCTTATCTCTTGATCTTAAGCATTATTTTGAAAATAAGCATTAACTAACATTTTCATTGATGTCTGTATCTGCACAGATGACAGAAGAGATATTCAGCCAGTGGGACCAGAATTTGACCTACAACAATCAGGTCAGTTGCTGTTAGCATAACAATTTAATTTTCTTTTGTTCAGTTTTATAATGTTCATATACAGACTTGTATATTTAATTTTAATTAAACAAGCAAATGTTCACAGTTTTTGTTATGAATTTTAATTTCTGTAAGCCAGGTGTAAATAGGATTCCTAAATCTGAATGACATAGTTCTTGGATGAGATGTCCATAATCCTTTTTCCTTGGAATATATTAACATTGGTTTGATTATAATGTATGACTACATATCATTATGAGACATCTCTGCTTCACTAACAGGCACAATTATTTGGCTTTCTGTTCACGTGTATCACGTAATACTGGTAATTATTTTTCAGTCCCTTTTTCCTCATTACAACACACTCTTTTTACTCCATATTTTAATATGTCAATGCAATGTGATCTCTTTAGTGTGAGGTGATTCAAAGGAAACTGAATAAATTCTAAATATATTCACATAAAATACATGTAATCTTTTCTTAGATTTATATGGCTGCTACTCATACCAGACACATCTAAAATCACTGACTGGTACTGTGTTATGCAATCATTTAGTTATCCATTCTGGACTTAAGGATAGCTGCCTTTGATGTGTCTACTCCATCCATGGGTAGAACTGGAAGATTTTGATCTAGTTCACTTCCAGCAATTTTGATATCCACTAATATTTAGGATCAAGCTTGTGGATGCCCTCAAGTAACCTAATCACATGCACTGCCCTTTCTTATTCTGCCTACCTTTTGCAACTCTTCCTTAATGTAATTACTTCATCTATTTAGGCAAAGTCATGTGTTTTGTATTATGGCATCTGCAGATGTCTTTCCTTTGGGAATGTAACAGTATCCTTCTCCATCATTCTCCTTAGCTTCAGAGAGACACCTGCAACACTCTAACTCTCACAGGGTATGAGGACAAATGGAATAAAAAATCTCTCTGCCCCACCTTCCTCACAGATGCAGAAGTTATAAATACACCTCTTATTTATTTTCTAAAGCCTCTGAGGTGGACCAAGAGCAAGTCTCATACAACAGAAGGCAAAACTGGTCTGTATTCTGACTTTTCACCTTCATTACTTCTTTACACTTCTTTTGGAATAAAGAGTGGGTGTTGGTCTGTTACTTCCTTTCCTCTACCTTTGTGGAGCAGCTACCTGTCCTCCTCTAGAACTCTTTGGAAACTCGGCTGTGTGAGTTTGTTGCAGCTTCTTCGCCCTTTGCAGAGCAATGATACTGAGAAGAGGCAGGCATCACAGGGGACACAAAATCCAAGAGGATGCCAAGTTCCCACAAACCAGATGGCAGGCAGTTTGTAAAAATTCTAGGTGGCAGGAGAGCCACTAAGATGTCACCCAGTATGACTGGTGCAGACCCCACAAAGCCACTTGTGATTATTAGCACAATAACAACACTGAAAATTGGACTACCTGTTAAGTGCTGTACACTCAGCTAAGAAGGGAGAAGAAAGACTTAGACACCTTATTTTAGAAATGTAATTACCACTTACAGGCTAGTTAAGTACTGCATGTTTAGAATTGGAAAATATATGTTTGACAATACTGTATATCTACTGATATATATTTAAGTCCTTCAACATGAAAATTCTAAATGCTTGCAAAAAAATATTAGTAATTCATTCAAAACAACAAAGCACAGCTAAGGCTGCAGGGCAGGAGTTTGCAAGCAAGATGTTGAGCACTGTGTGTGGCCTTATACCAACCACTGGGGGATCAATGCCACGTGTGACAGGCTGCCAGCCTAAGTAAGAAACATTGATCACTGCCCTCCAAGTGCTCTGGGAGCCAGTTTCTTACCCAGCTGGCAGACCACCCATCCAGTCTGTTTCTTGCCAGTTTGCTCAGGAGGAACTGTGGGAATTAAGTGGTATAAGAGGCTGACCTCCCTCTTCTTTCAGTAAAAAGTGAAAAAGTAATGCCAGGGTCTCTGGCAATCATGCTGTGCATGCAGCATGAAGGAAGAAAGACTGTGTAGGGGTTTTCCCTTGGGGCAGTGGGTACAACTACTGACAAATGCAGTAGCGTTCATATAATTTACATATGATTCCTCATATTGTGTTGTTCTCATGTTCATTTTTGTGTGGCATCTTGGCCATGGAGTTTTCTTTGCACAAACATTCACAGAAATTTCAAGTTAATCATGCAAATAAGTAGTGTTTCATAAGCCTTTATTCTAAATTTGCACTTAAATGGAGGATTAAATTGGCATCCAGTTAAGAAACAGAAAAACCCCAAGTGGCTTATGCAATTAATTGCTTGGAAAAATATTATTCAAATTTTCAATGTTCAAGATCAATAAAGAAAAAGTTAAAATATCCACAGAACAACTTGAAATAATCTCTATATTTGAGAAAATTAATATTATTTGTGTACATCTTGTAATGTAAGAGGACTATTTAATTTTATCTTCTGTTTTTTTTAAAGACAGGGTATATCATTAAATGCCATATAAAATAATAAACCCCAAGCTTTATTTTTTCTTTTCTTTAGCTGCAAAGGGCTGTGTGTGGTATTACCTTAATCAATATGCTTATGGTGCAGACTAGTGAGCTTTTAGTGTTTTGTTTAAGAACTCAGTTTTACAGCTTTGGAGTGTATCAGAGTTTATCTGACTTTCATTGTATAAGAAATAGTAAGAATGTATATCTTAAATTTCCCAAGTGATACAGATTCATTTTCATGAGTTCTACAAACTATATATCCCTAAACAGCAATAAATAAATTTTCCTATCAAATGCATGCTTACAGGCACTCAGTTGCTGATGAAGTTGCAATTAGGAATCTGACAGATGAGGAACTAATTCCCTAGAAACAGGATTTCTTCCTTCTTCTTGTTATGAGCAGAGCATATGGAGGAAACAGATCTGAATATGCCAGATGAATAAATTAAGAAGTCTAGGATTAAATAGAACAGCTGGAAATGTAACTGGTGATAACTAAAGGCTAATTAGCTTCAATGAGCAATTTTCCACCTGGTTTTCTATTAGCCATCTAGAAAGAGGAGCTAGAGAAATTGCATGGTGTGCATTTTCATTCTGAAATTCGATATGAACTGCTGTTCTACCTACATGGTAATTGGAAAATTACTGTGTCTTGTGAGTATAAATATTAATGTGACTGATTTGCAAAAATCCTTTCATTTTTTTCTAAGCATCGACTTGGTTTTGTACATTCATCATCTTACTGGAGCTGTGAGTTGTTCTTAATTTAATAGATATTTAAAATGAGGAGTCTACTTCTAAGAGTATTTTTGAATGCTAAAGCTCTTCCTCTGATACTCTTCATCAATTCTGTTATAGCCTGCTATAGCACTTCCCAATCAACAGTTTCAGATCATGTCCGTAATCCCTGCAGCTTTTGACTATTGCTTAGAACATCATATGCCATTAATGAATAATGAGGTGTTTCTTTCCTGAAACAAGTAATTTAAAGAGTAGGAAAGGAACACTAGGTACCCCACACAAAGCTTTTCACCTTATTATACACATCCCTATTTATTACATAAAATAAAATAAAAGACATTTCTTTTTATACATATTTCTTTCCTTCAGTATTTAAGATCCTTTGGTCCTTCAGTTTGTCATCACATAAAAGACTGGGTTCTGAATCCTTCCTTTTAAAGAGGACTGAGGCTATGAAAGTTTGAGATTAAACATCCTCATATTACTTTCCAAAGTAAAAGTCAGGTGACGGAGTAAAAGTCAGGTGATGGACATAAGGAATGAATGTCATCTTTCCAAACTTTAGCTGCTCAGAAGGGAGCTGCTGTACTTACAGTGGAAAGAAAAAAAGGATTAGTTCCTTTCTTGAATTTTTCTTTTTAAATGCTTCAGATGCCTGTCTTGTTGATAAGGATGGTTAGCTGTGATTAACCATGTAAGTGTGGAAGTTGAGCAAACTAAGTAATACAAATGGAAGATGTGATGATTCACCTTCTGTCTGTTTTTCTCCATTAACTATCAGAGGCATTACTGGAAGGGTGGTCAGTCACTGAAACAGGCTCTCCAGGGGAATGGCATGGCACCAATCCTGTCAGGGTCACAGGAGTGGCTGGATGACACCCTTAGTGATATGAGTTCATTTCAGGCAGTCCTGCAAGGAGCAGGACATTGGACTTGATGGTCTTTATGGGTCCTTTTCAACCTGAGCAATTTTATGATTCAAGGATTCTATGACTCTACATGACTAACTTGGGTTTAGGCAGTAATGTTTAGAAGTCCCAAAGTCAGGTTGTGTGAATCCCACCATGTGTTGTCTAGGGATATTTTTCCATTTTGAGAAGAGTGAGCAGAGACATAAAGCTGAGGTATTGCTTTCCAGTCTTGCATTAGATGCTTTTGGCTTGAAAGAAATACTGAAGTTTTAGTTCTAACTGAAGCAGAGTATTCAGTTTTTACAAAATCATTATGTTCCTAAGCATTGTCTTGTTCCTGGGAAAGTAGAAAGTCCATTTACTGAGAGGCTTATAATTTACAAAGTGATTGTCTTTCCTTTGTACGAGTGGTTTCACTATAACTCATGCCACAGATTTTTTTTTTTTTTTTTTTTTTGCATTCTTTTTTGAAGGAAACTGCCCTTAGGGACCAATATCTAATGATCTCCTTTAAAACATGTCACTCTTACTCCCCTATAGCAACTGTTTGTACTTTGGGATCGTGGATAGGAAAGGTAAAATATTGACATGGGAATTCATGATACTTAGGTTATCAAAGACACCTCCAGCTACAGGACAAGTCAAAGGAACAATATAATTTTCATTACTTGCCACAACAAAGGCTTTTAGAAATAATGAAGTAGAGTTGTCTTTTTTAAAAGCAAAAAATCAAAAACCCAAGCCCCTGTAGTTGTCAAAGATATGGTATTCTGTTGCTTATTAATGAGACTTCTGTAGAACAAGTTCTTGCCAGGGTTGTTTTAAATCTTGATGTTCTGATTAAATTTTAATTTTATTACAGTAATATATGAAAAATTGACTATAACAGTCAAAATATAATTCGTGCAATGCTGTCAATGCAGCAAATGCATTTACTCTAATGCCCATGAGAGATGTTACAAAATTTGGAAAAATAGCATGTAAACTATTAATAAAAATTGCAGTAGTAAGAAGAGAAGTGCCAAACCCAGCAGTAATGATAACAATCTCTGTATTTCTGGGAAATGTGGCTATTTAAAGATTTTTTGACAGAAAATACGTCATTGCTCTGACAGAAAATATATGTAGTTCATTTTATATAGTTCTTTATCAAAAAACCGTAGAAACCTTGATACCTGAAATAGCTCAAACCTCAAAAACTTTGTACTTTTTGAGATGCTTGTATTTTGAAAACTGCTAAGGAGCCATCTGGTTATGGTAAAACAATTTCAAAAAGAACTAAATGCTCTACACTTTAAGCATAAAAATAACTGGCCAAGGATATTTTGTTTTCTTTCAACCTCTCCTCTTTGCTGATTGGAAGCAGTGTGATCTGAGGGATAAAAGGGAAATGCAAAGTAACACTAAAATTAGCTATCACTTTTACAATGTGGGCAAAAAGGTGTCAAGAAATAGTCCTTCACTGATCTTGGGTGTCTCAGAGTGAAAGAAAGAATAGATGTTCTTGCCACAGATGTTGTCCTAAATGTTTAAATTTTGTGATAGATTTTATTTATAAGGATTTGTATGTGCAAGTGAGGTGCTTCTTTCTTTAACTCCCGATCATGAGGAAAAATGTCGACGAGTTCCTTGCTCAGATGATTGATGTGCATGCTGGAGTGGTGGCTCCTGTGGAAAGCCATAGTTACTGCTAGGAGATGCCTTCTTTGGCTTCAGGCTTCGAGGAACACGGAGTCCTCCCTTTGAGAAGTAGGAGTCCCTACTTTGGTTTTCAAGCCCTCACAACAGCCATCACTGGGTGTCAGGAGCACAGCATGGCAGCAAATTGACGGAGGAATTAAATAATGGAAAGAAAAATTCTAAAAGCACAGCAAAGTTGCACCTCTGAGACATATGGGTCGTCATTTTCTAAAAGTTATAACTGCAGGAGACCTCTGGGGCATGGTGGGGCCAGGGCTCCTCGGGGTGGCCGGGCCTGGCAGCTCTTCCGCAGTGCGAGCCAGAGCACCGCACATCTCTGAGCGAAGGGATGCGTGGCCCCGGGAATGTGGTGGGTGGGAAGTGGCCGTGGGGGTCCCTCAGGGCCTGTTGGTGCCCACAGGTTCCCAGTCACCTTAATGTAACCCCAGCATAAAGGAAGCAATTGGCCACAAAGAGCAGCAGGTTTTGTCGGTGTTTTTATTTTATAGCACATTTACTTCGTGAAATAATGGATTTTTTTTTTAAGTGGGTGGTTGTTGGAGGTGTACCATCTATTGGTTAGGCAAAAAACAAAGGCAGAAGGAGTGCTGGTAATGGGGGTAATGGGGCTCTCCATTAATTACAGATATTGCTTTTGACACTGGAAAAATAGTGCTGTTTGTCAGTGGGGGGAAGGGGAATGCCTGGCACCCCATTGTCCTACTGAGGCTGGGCCTGGAAATGGTGCCTTGGCAGCATGGTTGGGTCTGTCTGCAAAGCCCAGGGAACAGGAGGAAAACCATGGTCCTTGGCTGCTTCCTGCAGTGTTGATTTCCATGACTTTAAATGATTCTGAATTACAGGTTTCAGGAAGAACTTTCTAGCAGCTAGGTGTTCAGATATATTTTGCTGTGTGAAAATAAGTGAGAAAGATGGCATGGGTTGAGGGGTAAAAGTTCTGTAAAATAATGAGCTATTTTATGAACAATTCCACTGCTGTTATTCTGACTTCTGTTGTTCAGGTAGAATATTTCTTGTACAAGCAGCAAATGCATCACATATGTTTGAGAATATATCTATGAGTGACAAATTCAAAACCCACTTCTGATTCAAAAGAAGATCAACTCTACACTGGGTGCTGAACATTGTGTTTTTCTGCTCTTAAAGTTGTCTGGCATGCAGCAGCATATATATGTATATACAGTGAAATATACATGTAATTACTTGTATTCATAACCAATCAACCTCTACTTTGTCCATATGGTTGAGGCTATAAATGCAAGACAACTTGTGGAAAACATGTGAATACCACTTATTTCTTAAACTAAATACAGTTGTGTTTCACTGGTGTGTGTTTTGCCATCTCTTCACTCTCTGTACTTTTCATGCAGTGTGAGAACAACCAGGGAAGAAGTTGTGTGTTTGAAATACACGGATTTGTATTTTCTCTGTACTCAGTATGTTATTTCTGCTTCTGCCTGAATGGGATGCTCAGTTTGAGAGACAGGTGGAGACTAAATGGGATTGAAGAGACTTAGGAGTGTTTAATATATTTCTACAGCTATTTGCCTGGCAAAGATGATGACGTTCAATTGCATGCTAATTCCTTTGCAAAGCCAATAAAAGAGCAGATCTTTTTTTTCTTATGGAAACTGACTTAGAAGTCTAGCAGTCTAGACTGTTGTGTGTTTTTATTTTCCTTTCTTTGTTAACTGATATCACAGAAAACCTAAGTTACTGTGACCTTATTCTCCTGCACAGCTAAATGCAAAAGTAGAGAATTTTAAGGACAAGAGGTGAAGGATTACTCAGGAGAGTGCCAGAACTCCCATTTGAGTGCATGATTTGATGAAGAATAGAGAAAAGCAGAAGATGGGCAATGGTGAGTAGTATTTTCTGTAATGACAAAAGGGAAAATTTCCTTGGTAAAGTAAAAATGTCCTGAAATGACATCAGCTTGTGAAAAATGTCCTCTCTGTATTTAAGATTGGTTGAAACACAACTCATTTTTGACTGTAAATAATTTAGAGAACAGAGAAAAAAAATCGAATACATTGATTTAGAGAAATTTAAAGAATTAACCACAAATTGGTCATATTTTGAAGCTGGTGAGAAAATTCTGACTTCTGTGAAACTGACTGAACAATTTATCTTGACTAATGGAAACAAAGGTTTTTCTAATCTCTTTAAGAAAAGAATGTCATTTGCTTCTGGAATCAGTAGAGAGAACAAAAGAAAGCACAATTAAGAAATTAAATTTTTATCTTCTGCAATGATAAACAGAAGAGGACAAATTAATCTTTGACTGAGGTTAAGAAATGTGATTAGACATAATTTTGTTGAAATTCTGCTGCTTTGCCAAGGATGAGTTTTAGCAAACCCCTGAGGCAATAATAAAAATTACAATGTGCAGCTATTGTAGGCAGGGATTAAGGGTGCTCTTGCATGGATATGGTGTGCATAAATGATAAGCCATAATGTTTAAGAAGTGACAGTAGGTAATGATTTTAATTTACTTTTGTCTCAATTAACTTATATTTTGACATTCTACTTAATCAAACTGAGTTTTATTTAACTTCTATTTTCTGACAACTGACCTGCTTTCTTTTCTCTCCCATTCCCACATAAAGCAGATGGCTTAATGCATAGAAGCTCATGGCCAGAAAAGCTGAATTAGCTTTGTCTGTGAAATATTTTCAGAGAAAAGCAGTTACTGCTAAGCATATCAAAGACAAAGAAATAATATACTTTCTAAATGAGGAATTCAACAACTGCAGCTCTCTCATTATAACTGTGCATATGGTCACATATAAATCCATACTCTGTACCCAACAACCGTGATGGCAATACCTTGATTCCATTAAGAAAGATGAAAGATGATCAGGGTTGGAACAAATGAGGCAATTTATGATCTAAAATGTATTGTCTAGCAAATAACCACATGCTTGCCTGTAAGTTCTTCAAGACAAGGACTGACTTTTTGTTACTGCACAGCATCTAGCACAAAGGGAATCTGTGCCATGAGTAAATCTCTAAGCCTACTGCACTAGAAATAATGATAAACCGTACTGAAGAGGATTATTTGTGTTTTGGAAAAGGCTATCAGTTAATTGTTCCTCTAAATGTATTTAAAATTCCCTTCTCTGTTCTTTGTCATTTTTCTATTAATGCCAAGGTAAGTTTGAAAAGGCTGCTTGTGAAACTGCATGTAAGTGATCACTGAGAATAAGAGTATTTCTTTAAATACACCCAAAGTGCAAGCAGTTATTTGATGTTGGAAACTGGACAGTTTGTTTCATTTAGGGCAGTGATTCATTACCACTGTCTTTACAAGACTGAGGCATCAATTATCCAAAATAATTTCAATATTTGAATGATTGACTTTATTACTCTTGGTTTAGCTGGTTTTTGTTTTTTGGTTGGTTGGTTTGGTTTCTTGTTTTTGTTTGAATTAATGGTAGAAAATATTTGATGTTCAGCTCAAATTTAAAAATTAGAAAATATAATGGCTCATACATTAGCTTTTGCAGCTTTTCAGTCAGTGGACATTTCTCAGCCTGCCCAGCTGAAATCACTTTCAGCTAATTGAAGATTTTCTCACTCCATTTAGCTGTTAAACACTGGCATATGGGCATATGGATCTTCCTAGTCAAACTGATCCTCAGAAGAAGTGAGCAGTGAAAATAATATTGAAACAAAAATAAAATGAGGTTCAAATAAGGTGAAGACAATTCAATGCTCAAATTAGAAATGCTAGAACTGTCCTCCATTTGCCAGAAGAAGAGAGTTTGATGGAAACAAAGCAGGAGCTTTCCCACACTCCTGGCAATGTGCTGGGAAGGAGCACTCCTCTGTGGAAAAGAGCAGCATAGCATAAGGATAGCTGATTAACTCTTGGATAACCACGTCACTGTAATTGACAAACTACAGTTGGTTGTATGCTGCTACTTAACAGTTGCTGAAATATTGTTTAGACAGCAATTAAACATGGTGCACTAATAATAGCCTGGAGTTCCTTTTGAGAGTGGTTTTTGGCATGGTTTTTTTGGTGTTTTTTCCCTTTCATTTAGAGAAATTAGGGAAGTTAAAATCACATGGGCATCCCTAGAAAGATTTCATATGTCAAATACATTATTTCTGGCCAAAGAAATCTTGTACATCCAGCTTCTTAGAGACCTGGTATTGACTTAGACAAAGCTTCTTGTGAAAAGCAATACCTATCATACGTTAGCTGAGTTTCTATTAACTAATTAACCAAACTGCTTTATTTTTTGGGGAGAATCTTGGTATACCTTGCTCCAGTAGAACTGCAAGGTCTGCACTTGAGTTTTTGCTGCTTCTTACAGTAACTTTGTTGTGCTGTAGAGAGCATGTGCCTCATTGTTTTTCCCTGGTAACAGCATCAACTTCCTTGCTAATTTGAAATTAGTTTAGGTCTGGGGTGATGATTTCAGTCTATCAGATCAGGAAATGTATCCCTCCTTAGATGGAGAGCTGCATGAGAACTTCAATGATTTTAATGCTTGTTTGTTTCAGTGCTGTTAATTAAAAACATAAATATTAAAAAAGACATGGTGAGAATTGTAAAAATTATTTCAGAAGCAACTGAAACCTGACTTCATCAGTCTTATTCTCATATTTTCTCTATTTATGTGCTTTATTCAGGGATGACAGAACTGTTCTTTCAGTAGACACGGAGGCTACAGGAAAGGAGGTTGCTTGCATGAGTGACCCTATTAATGGACTGAATTTCATTAGCCTGTATTGTGGGTCCTGAAGAGAACTGAATCTATTTTCATGTTTTTCTTATCTTATGGAGAAGATGTGTATCTTGGTGAAATATTCAGTTTTAGTTTACTTCAGATATAAGATTTTCAAAAAAATTGCTGTAAAGATGTTGAAATACTATTGGTGACGTATATGTGTCCCATTCATCAACTTCCCATTCAAGAATAAGATTTATTATGCTAGGGCTGGGTTGTTTTGAATGAAATCACACTTTAATTAAGTAGTTTCTGCTAGTTCAAAATAGAGATGCTGAGTGTACCATCTGTTACAATGTATACATATAAAAATTATATTCACTAATTACACTGTGCTTGTTGGGTGGGCGATGGCATCAGAACCAAATTAGATTTAATAAATGTAGAAAAAAGTACACATTTAAGATAAGAAAAGCTTCAGTACAAGAAACTAGAAACTGGTATGAATAATAACAAAATTGTTTTTCCCCTATAAAAGGCTGGTTTTTTAGTATTGTCTAAAAGGTATCTTTTCACCAAGCTTGATAATACAAGTCCCCATGCAAGAGTGACAATGTCGGATGTCTCCTGGCCTCTGTAGTGATCGGTGATGAACAATTTAAGAATGAATATTCATAATGTTTTTGTTACCTTCTGGCATATTTTGTTACACTATCCATATGAATCCCAAAATTGGGTAAATCATCAGCTGAAAGGGGTTTAATTATCTGAAAATTAATTAAGAGCTCTCTAGTCATGCATGTACTGTGTGTTTTCACTGGACTTACTTTACTGATAGAAACAGAGCTATTAGGATAATTACTAGATTGTGTAAGGAAAGCAGTTATAAACAACATTTTCCTGATGCAAAACACTCATGAAATTATACTGCACTATGTAACTTCACATCTTAAACTTAGGTAACTGTTTTGCTTGGAGAGAAAGAGAAGCATATGGTATATATTTGTCAGCAGATGTGCCAGTGACATGGTGAATTTATCAATTTTATCAAATTGTAGGCTGCTAGGAAAATGAGGTACCTCAAAGAGCAGTTGGGAATTCATAATATCTTAGAGGAAATGTCTTTGGGAATTTCAGTGACACCTTAAATTTGAACTAATAGACTTAAACACATAATAAGAAAAGAAAGAAAAAAAGCCTTACAGAAGGTTCCCTATTTGCAGTGGTAAAATACACATATAAAGGTCTTCAGTTCAGGGAAAGAAGACCGAGGAGTTGTGTCAGTGCTGTTAGTGTGGTAGAAAGGGCTCAATCCAGATGCTGGGCTTGGGGCTTCCCTTCCTCTCTGTCAGCAATACACCTCAGGAGACTGCTGTGCTGGAACAAGGTTGCATGCCATTTGCTATTTGATTCCTCATTTCTCAACTTTAAAAAATTATCTCTTTGCAATATTCCTGCTTTTTAAGACAGGAACTCACACATCCAGAGGGGGGTGCATTGATGTAGTTTTTCCCTTTTTTTTTTTTCTGTTAGTTTATCATTCAGAGGTGTGGTGAAATTCTATTGTGCTATCTTTGTCATTTAAACTTTGATTTTGAAAACATGTGCACAGACCTCTATATGCAGAGTTTGTGGAGTAAATTATACTGATAGAATGTTGCTGCCTCTTGTTTAACAGCTTTTAAAACATGGGATACTTATTAATGTCTAAAACTATTGTACTACTGGTAGGGAAATCTACCAGCTCCAAGTCCTATAGTTTGGAGCTTTCCGCATGTTACAGAAGTTTTCACCTTGGGCTTTTCTCAATTTATTTTTTTTTCCCCTCTTCAGTCTTTCCATTCTGGAAAGAGTTTTTACTCAAGACAGGCCTCCTGTGTGGGAGTTCCCTGCCTTAGCAGCTGACCAGCTGGCAAACACTGAAGCCCTGGAAATGCCTCCCAGGATAGGCAGTATCAGACATCAGTTCTAGCTGACAGGTTCATTGCTCTTGCCTGCAGTAAAAAGTGTTGTTTGTGCCACTGCAGTGGGTGCAGCCAAGTGGAGGGAACTTCTGTGGGTTAAAGGATGCTTATGTGAGAACTCCTCTGGCCTTTGCTAGAAATGTCTCAGAGCAGTGTTGGTCAGAGGAGGTTTAACT